ATATTTAGAAGCGAATTAACGAAGCTGCAGTGAACTCATATGGTTATATTATAATGACTATGGAGTCAGGGAATAATTTTATTTACTTTTTATAAGTCAGTGCTTTACTATAATACCACCTGGTGGTAAGTGGTGATAAAGTTCTAAACGGTAAATCGCAGGTGTTAAGCCGCGTCTCCACCAGTTTTGTTGTCAACACAACATTTGCCAACAAAACTTGTTTCCATTATCGGCGGCAACATCAAAGGAATACGCTTGTTGACAGAAACATTTGTTGGCAACACGTGTCGGCAACTGTTGTGTTGGCAACAAAACTTTGGTGGAGACGCGGCTTTACACATTCTCTCTTCGGCGTCTATTCGGTATTTCGTTCGTAACTACTTATCGTGGAAACGCTATCCGTATAATATATATAACTATATAATTATAGCGATTACACTTTTTTGTATGACCGATGGTAGTGATACAATAACACAATCACGATTCACGCTAGTTACATCAAATAGGGGTCCATCCTACACTCGATCTAGAACCTTACTTACCCCTTCGATTCGCGGTACGTTGAACTATATGGCCGGCTCATCGATACTTCAACTTGCTGATCAGTTGGACTATGTAGGTTACTCTGATTCTGCTAAGGATATCATAGTTGACCTAGGTAAACATACTCTTCGGCGCGTCATGTCGTGCGATGTTCCGCAGGGATCGGTCTTGGGACCGCTCCTGTGGAACGTCATGTCGTGCGATGTTCCGCAGGGATCGGTTTTGGGACCGCTCCTGTGGAATATCAGCTACGACTGGGTGTTGAGAGGTGAACTCCCGTCGGGCGCCGACGTGTTATGCGGACGACACGCTCTTCACTGCCCGGGGGAGCTCGCACAGGGAAGCAGCGTTGGTTGCCACGGCTGCGGTGTCACAAGTGGTGAATCGCACCCGGCGCCTGGGCCTGGAGGTGACCCTAAACTAGTCGGAGGCCATGGCGTTCCATGGCCCTCGACGCGCGCCGCCGCCGGGATCACACATCGTGGTCAGCGGGGCCCGGATAGCTGTCGAGTCCACCGTGAAGTATCTGGGATTGGTGCTCGACAGCTGATTGGAATTCGGACCCCACTTCCGGCGGCTAGCGCCAAAGCTGATGGGTGCAGCGGACGCGCTTTCAACGTTGCTTCCCAACTTGGGGGGCCCGAGCGCCGCCTGTAGGCGGTTGTACGTGGGAATCGTGCGGTCCATGGTCCTGTATGGGGCCCCTGTGTGGACGATGGACATGACGGCCAGCAATCTCGCCATTGTGCGCAAACCGCAGAAGGCGATGGCCGTCAGATTCGTCCGCGGGTATCGCACGATTTCCTACGAGGCGGCTTGCGTCCTGGCCGGATCCCCGCCTGGGACCTAGAGGCGAAAGTACTAGTCATTATATCGATGGCGCGAGGAAGAGCGGGCACGGGGCTCGAGGCCGGTGCAGCGGCAGATCGCGCTGCGCCGGGAGGAGCTCCGTCAGGTCTTGGTGGCGGAATGGCGGCAAAGGCTTCTGCGCCCTACTGCCGGCCTCGCTACCAACGAGACGATCCGGCCAGTACTCGACGACTGGATCGGGAGAAGGCACGGCTCCCTGTCGTTTAGGGTGACGCAGGTGCTGTCGGTGCACGGCTGCTTCGGCAAGTACCTGTGCCGTATAGACAGGGAGCCGGACGCTCGGTGCCACCACTACGTCCATTGCGGGGAGGACACGGTGCAACACGCGCTCGCCGAGTGTGTAGCTTGGGAGGAGCAGCGCCGTGTCCTCACAAATAAAGTAGGAGGCGATCTGTCGCTGCCGGCCTTAGTGCGGAGGATGGTCGGTATTGCAGAGTCGTGGGACGCGGTGGTGTCCTTCTGCGAGGACGTGATGTCGCAGAAGGAAACTGCGGGACGGGAGAGGGAGATCTCGACTCCCTTCCCCGGCCGCTGAAGGCGCACCGGGCGCAGGAGGGCGGACAACGCTCTTTTCCGGCCCCCATGAATGGGTTCAGGGGCGAGGGACTTGGGGAAGCCCCCGCCAGCCCTATTCGATGGACCCGAGGCGGAGGCGCGCGCCCCTGAGGCGATACACGGGGTAGTTGAACTCACTACCCCGTGCAGGAGACGAGGCCCGGACAGATCGGGCCAGCACTAGTGTGGGGCTGCGGAAGAATTTGGATTCCCGCGGCCCCCCGCGCGCACTTGCGAGGAGACACCGGGGTGGTTTTAGCCGGTAAGTCCGGCACGCCCCTCCGCCTTTCCCCAGGCGGAGGTAGTCCATGAGGATTTCCCCCGAAAAAAAAAAGGTAAACATACTTTTTAACAACTACCGGCATAGTTTCCAACATTATAAAATGATACAATAATGTAAGATGCGTTGAACGTGTTAGAATATCTACTACCCCATATCAACATATCATAAACAACTAGATATGTTCAGCGTAATCAAAAACTAAAAGCTACAGTTGCCAATTCACCTGCCAAGCATGGCTTTCTTATAAGATATATATATATCTTATAAGAAAGCCATGCTTGGCAGGTGAATATATAACTATCCTTATAAGACAGCTGTGGACTTTTTATAGGCGGTAACGGTAAGAAGTGCACGAATTGGAATATAAAATTACTTATTTCCAATGATTTATATATTTATGACGAGAATATTTTCGTAAAATGTATGACTTAGTCATTGACTATGTGGTAAAAGCAAAAATTATTCATATTTCGGGTTTGTATTAAGTATCCGAACTTTTCCTCAATTGTAAGCTATTCACAGAATTCTCACACGGTATGGATGTTATTTGTATTTGCGCGTGCACTCATGGTAATAAAATGAGATTGACAATATGCTCTGTCATCGGAAGCTTTAGAACGAATTTGAATACACTCTGGAGGAAAACAACATTCAACAGCGATAAAGTGGATAGTCATGGGTTAACCAACATTTTTTTCAAGCCTCCAAGTACCAATAACCCATTAAATTAGAAAAAGCATATAAACATTTTTGTAAGTTTTTACGTGGCTATACACATATTACCATGTATGTACTCTTGCAAAATTTACATAAAATGTCATACGCGACGTGAGGAAATGGCATACGTATTATCTATCACATTTGCTGCCAAATTATTCATGCTAGTCCTCATTTTCGAAACAAAATATCCAATATCAGCTAGTTTTGTGTACTTTCTAGATAAGTACTAAACAGGAAGTAGAGGTTGGTTTTATGCCACATGAAATCAAGCCAAAAAATTCAACACTCCAACCACCATATTTCAACAATATATAACAAACAATAGTAATAATAATAAAAGATGCTCAAATAATTGTGAACTGTAACTGTAACAAAAACCTTTATTTCTGTGGGTAATGGAAATAAGACACTAAGTCGAATTATATGGTTTAAAAACTGATAACCAATGGCTGTATTGTACCAGAGTGCAGTGAAGAGCAGCCTCACACTAGTTGGAAATAAACACACATCTATAACTGGAGGTAGCTCATGGCCATGTTTTTGTGGCAGCCTTTGGTGGAGGCCAAAGTTCAGCTGTTCATGTAATGAGCAACAATGATTATAATGATAATTGAACAGAAAAGATGAAATTCAAATATCAAAGGTAAACTGAAAATATTGCTCCATTATCAAGTTTGCTAAGGAATTTTCAGCATTAGGTAGTTAATTCAGAAGTTCAGACTTAGTGGAATGTTCATCAGTTTAAATTCTGTCTTTCTGGAATTTAAAATCAAAGTAACACAAAACAATAAATTGAAATATTGACAGATAAATTTTTATTGCAGATTAGTTAACAGCTGCATTCCAGAATCAGGAAGTTACCTAAATAAAGCTCAAAATTATTTACATACACAATAATTTATTGTTTTCTTACAATTTAGTGAAGCTAAAATACATCTTGACGATCGATTACATTTTGAAAAAGCTTTGAATTTGCTATCTCTCCCAGTGTTAAACTGAATGAGTGTTTGCTTCTTCTTGCAGCTGTAATGTTACACACAATATCTTGCCACTCGTGCCAGATGCTAAGTCAATTTGCCATACTATTGAATTTTAAAATGGATATAAAGGAAGGTAGCGTGGGAAGGAAAATGTTGAGGAAATCACAACGCAAGTATCCTTACAACCACAATATATATTAGATAAAATTATAATATAAAGATCGCCATATTGAAAAAATTCTAGATTAAATTGTAACTTATTATCTTATGAGATACACTGTAATTTATATTGAATCTTGACCCTATAGGAGCTTTCCCATCATTTTACACAATATTGTGGATGAAAGAAAACTGACCACTTCAATCAACGTCAGTCTGTTGTAGCAAGCTACACTTCCTAACTTAAAGAGTTGCTTTACTAGTTAAAAAAAAAATAACACTCACTCGACTCCGTCAACAAGCTCATTTTGTTGTACCATTTACATACATTACCAGAATGTTTTTAACAATTATGAGCTTCACTTACATTTCATTGAAAAAATTCTTTAGTGACCCAGTAGAGATAAGCAAGGAATGCTCCATATCCTAAACATGACTATTGTACAGTTTCACAATGCAATTTAGATCTAGTTAAAGTACAAATTCTTTAGATATTACATAAATTCAAATGATGTAAATTTAACTAATATTTAACTTCAACTAAATGAGTGTATGTGATCAAGACATCTACGGACACATCAAATTTAAACAAAACAATTTTGCCATCATAGAAAATGTCTCTTACACATAGATTAACAGAAACTATTTGCACATGTGTACTGTGTTTATGTAATGATGCAATGATTTATAGATTAAAATAACTGGAGGTGACAATAAATCAGACAAACACTAGAAATGACCATGTAAGTATTTAAAATAATTTGCTGCAATTTTGGGCATTTAATATGGATTTTAGACTAACAGGGACTGAGGAGCAGGAACAGAAAGGGGTAGAGCCCGGGCTGTGGCGATGTGTGTGTATATGTTTTGCAGATGTCACAATTGACTCATCACATGGCATACTTCCTTGTCCACTCTCGGGCTAATTCATTGTACTTTTCTCTGTCAGTTTTGTAGATCCTAGCAATTTCTGGCACCAATGGATCATCAGGGTTTGGATCACATAGCAATGAGCAGATTGAGAGCAACACTGAAAAAATATACACATAAATTAGAAACTTAAAATCACAGGACCTTTAAACCAAAGAACATTGTATATTTACCTTTAGATATGGTAAGTGCAGGAGACCATTGTGCGCGGAGAATGTCAAGGCAAATTGACCCATTACTGTTTATGTTAGGGTGATAAATACGTGTTGTGAATGCAACTTTGGGTGGTTTGAATGGGTAGTCTGTAGGGAAATGTATAGTCAAGAAAAAAACTCCTCCTTGGTAAGGGCTGTCGACCTGAAAAATAATAAAAAAGGAATGAAATATAAATATACCAAATGAAATTGCACTTTTAATATATACTTAATGTCTTTTAAACACTATTGACAATAACATATCAGAAGGAGAGTAAACATCTGTTGTATATACTTTGTCACTGATAACAAATTTTACAATGTATTTGGACTTGATGATAAAAGAATATTAAAATAAAGAATAACTTACTGGACCCATTATTGTGGCTTGCCAGTGGAATACTGAAAAGAGAAATAATAAAATTAATTATTTCAGCATTTAGGTTAAATGAATGTTACAATAACAATAAAGTTATCAAGTTATGAAAAGCACAAATATAACAACACACTAAACTGGTAAATGTTTAAAGGACTAAAATAACATCTATGTGAAAAATTACAATGAACAGCTGTTTCAGTTTTTTGTTGTTATTAGAATAATATAATCTCAACATAAACTTTAAAAAATCAAATAATTATCCATCAAAACACAGCATGTGTTAAGATTTTTATAAATCTTTGAATTCTGAAATACATTATTACTTATTGTACACCTTACTGCCTGTCAATGAGTCACAAAATGATGTGGTATAATTTGAGATCGATAAATACTTACGATCTTCGCCGTGTGGACCTGCAGAACATTGTGCTGGTGGATCTCTGCCCAGGTCTTGTAATTCCTGTAAATATAAGTAAATGCATGTACATCCACCGGAAACAATATGAGATAAGTTGAAACACATCATCACTCACATAATAAATGTACAAGAGTATTCTCTATACAAAGGCCAAAATAAAGGACCCTTGGTAACACAAATTACGCAGGAGGTCGTTTATCCAGTCGGAAATACAGCACGTCACAAAAATATGACAAGAAAACCTCAAAATTGGCACATATTTCCGACATTTTATGTACCTACGCCGTGTGCATAAAATTGTCACCAATATATACAAGTAAAATACAGTTACCTTACACAACACACTGAATATTATAAAATAAGAAAAATAGGAATGGAATTTATAACAATCACGCACACGGAATTATCCAGAAGAAATTTCGATAATAGGTATTCACAATGACGAAACATTCACTACAAAGTCTATTACAAATTTTACAGCACATTATAGTAAAACTTGTAATTTCTTAAATTAACAAAAAACGTAACTGTACGTACCCTATTAATTCGTTTTAACGCCATTTGATTATAATATGATGGATTAAACTGACTTTCAACTAGACAACGAAACTGTGAACCAAGGACCTTTGATTAGAGATTGCAAGATGGCTCCCGTCTAAACGCAAAAGTACCACTTAGTCGTTTTATATAGTAATATTGAAATTATAACAATTTGGGTAAAACTTTAAAGACTTAAATAAAAATAATAATAACTAATATTAAGAAATAATAAGAATTAGAACAGAGCGCAGGTTCTAACAAAATTAACGCACTCGCGGCGAATGGAGTTCACCAAACAGGAAAATCGACCATTTTCAAAGAGCGTTCATGATAAGTCATGTTTTTAAAATTTGGACATGCGTACATTTTTTTGCAAATACTTAATTTATCATTATTAAATTGAAAAAAAATCGTTAAAAAGGGAATTAATTATTAATGCCTTAAATTAATAAATAAAAAATATGTTTTGTTAAAACGTTTTTTTATTTGTTAAAATGATGTAATTGATACCATTTCCAGAGTTTATTATTGCAACACATGTATCGGAAGTGACGTACACAGAATTCCGGGCGCTATTTTTGGTTATCGTACTCTCGTCAGAGAAACAGAGAGTAGTATTGAATTCCTTGTTAAAGTAGTTGTTCAGTTAGGCAGCTATTTTCATTCACATTTTGCAATTTGAAACTAAAACGAAGTCAATATATCCTTATGATTTGAAACTTTTACAGTTTACAGGTGTATGTGGAATTAACATAATATGCTGTAAATCAAAAAGAGCGCTATGTAACTTAAATTCATCTACGGCTACCACTTACTACTACACACTAAATCACAAGTTCACTGCTGAAGATTGATCGATAGCCAATAGGCCTCCTCTATAGATTGCCACAAATTACGATCCTAAGACACCTGCATTCATCTACTACCTAGATAAGACCTCACGTGTTTTATCGTGCAGAGCCGAGTGCTAACATGAAGTACTGCCGCACCTTTACACAGACATCTAATATCCTTACATCTGCTTTGGTCTTGGACTCAATGAACCGCTTAAAGTTCAGGTTCAAAGGAACTTCAATACTGTGGCCGTACATTGAAAGCTAGCGTAAAAGGCTTGCGTGGCAGACCTCGTCAAAGGCATTCGAAATATAAGGAAAACAGCAATTATTGTACGGCATACACAAGAAGGTATGCGATCTATATCAACCGATTATGACGGAACCCATACTGTCAGTTGCTGGGGGCGTCGTTCTGCTCTAGGTATGCCATAATGCTAATATTTTCAGAGTATGGAGGTAATTGAAATTTGCCGATAATTGGCAGGGTTTAAGATTTAGGCACTACTCCAGTCCTTGGTGAGAGGCGGAACAGGCGTGGCAATATAGGAGAAAACTTGGGTCCATAAGTTTTTAAGACTACAATTGGAATACCATCTGGTCCACTAGTTTTGTTATGTTTTGGTATTCTTTAATGTAGTGTTGTCCTGTCACGGTTCTTTGAACGATGTCATCTGAACAGCTTGTGTTAGTATGAGAGCTGGCGACGAATTTTGGGAAGGTCCTTTGGGCAAGTTGAAATTGTGAAAAAATATAATTTCGTCAATTGGCGAATCCAGTCCGGTGAGTCTGGCAGAGCGATTGCGGTTTTTTCTTTACTGCGCAGCATATAATACTTGCAAAAAAATATCCAAAAAAACATTTTTTTAACTACCTAAATGTAGTTATGTATGAGCTATATTATTGTCAAGCTTCTTTTAAATAAATTCAGTAGTATTTGCGTGGAAGTGTAACAAACATCCATACATCTATACATCCTCACAAACTTTCCCGTTTATAATATTAGTAGGATTCAAGTCAACTATTTCTAATTAATTACTATTAAAACTGAAAAAAATCAGAAACTTTAAACAGTAAACTTTATTTACGTCTGCGAGTTGTTTAAAACCGCTAAATTTGTCTGGCGATCCGCAGGTATTATTAAAAATTATTCAATAAATACGTGATTAAAATTTGAGATTGCCAAAAGTATATTTTTTAGGAATATAAAAAAAATATTTTTGGAGAGGTCTGGTAATACTTTATAACCGACAAAAACGTCTGAGATTATTTTTTGGAATAATATAAAACCTAAATTAAAAGATAAAAAAGAAATCAAGTAGCCAAAAGAATATTCTTTTATAATTTTTTTTTTGCAAATGTTATATGCTGCGCAGTAACGAAATAACCGCAAACGCTCTGCCAGACTCGCAGGACTGGATTCGCCAATTGACGAAATTATATTTTTCCACAATTTGAACTTGCCCAAAGGACCTTCCCAAATTTCGTCACCAGCTCTCAGACAATGTCGATATAAATGTTCCCTTAGAGATTTGTAGAATATTTAAAGACGACGGCAGGAAACTCAACGGTATGACTTTGGATCCTAGGGAGAAATAAAGCTTTAGTGTGGGATACTACTTGTGAAGACACTTTGACAGCCTCTCATCTCCGGGGTACCTGGTGTAAAACAAGGTCGGCATCAGAGGCAACTGAACTAAGTAAGTAATAGCCCAAATATGAGTCTCTGATAGATGATTACATTTTGTGCCATTTCGTGTAGAGACTATCGATCCGTGGGGTTCAAGTGCGGTGACGTTCCTAAAAACTATCCATGACTGATCGTCACTACTGGTGATAAGACGCAGCCAGCCGTCTTGGCACTATACCGCGGGGAGTAGGACTGTATTATGATAATTTCAGTTTTTAGGTATTTTTATTATAGATTTTTTAATATTGTAATTTGAATATTGAAAATGAAGTTTAGTTAGTAAATTACTGATTACGATGCAATTTAAAGTTTATATCTTTTTAGGGTTCCATACTCAAAGGGTAACCAACGAGAATCTGTTACTAAGGCTCCACTGTCCGTCCGTCTGTCTGTAAGTGGGCTGTATCTCATGATCCGTAATAGGTAGACAGTTAAATTTTTCTCAGAATGTGTATTTCTGTTGCCGCTATAACAGCAAATAATAAAAATTAAAATAAATTAAAAATTAAAAGGGGCTCCCCTGCTAGAAATGTGTATTATGTTGGTACAGAACCCTTCATGCGCAAGTCCAACTTGCAATTGGCCGGTTTTTTTTTATATCTTGCTAGATGGTACCCGGCGCATTGCTGCCGCAGAAGAAATAATTGTAGAAATATCGTTTTAAATTTCAAAGACTTATATTGTTTAACTTTCAAATAAACTGTTAATACGATACGCGCGAGGTGACGCGCGTATCGTATTAGTGTAAGTTAATATTATTATGTCTATTACCTCCGTTCAAGTGCAAGCAATAAGTTGACAAAGTTTTACCGCAATCTGATGAACGGTATCGCAGTGCATAATATACGAACAAACAAAGATTAACTTTTATATATTAGAAGAAATAGTTTATTCATTCTGTCTATAGACAGACCTGTAAATATTTAGCATCTGTGATTTTTGGAGCAGATTTGTTATCTATAATACTAGAACTGAACGAATGGTTGACAATAAATTATTTGCGAAATTATGTTTTTTATTTTTATTTTGTATAGTTACTTACACCAGTTGAATATATTCCAGTATTAAAATACTTACGCGAGGCTTAAATATTCAATATATAATTTGAATATTTAAGCCTCGCGAATCATCCAATATACCCTATGTTGAAACCCAGATCAAAATCCGTTCTGTCGTTACGATAGACCAACGCAGCGCCGATCATGGTTTTATATGAGGTTATACCTATATAACTTGCCTTCTAAAGCCTAGGTATTAATTGATAATATATATATATATATATATATATATATATTTATATATATATATATATATATATATATATATATATATATACACATATATATTTATATATATTTATTTTATAAACTAGGTGTCATGTCATATCGCGCACCGCGGACACGTGATGACGCGGGTGAAACAGCGGGGCACAGTTAACCAATACAAGCCGTTCGTCCTCATATATATATATATATATATATATATATATATATTAAGAATTACTTACATATGAACTTTTTGTAAACTAGACGTCATATATATCGGTATTTTTGTAGGACCATGCATAGGACCGCGTGGACTTATACTTTGACAGAGGGGAATGTTTGCGTATGGCTCCTCCCCTACGGTCCGCTGGTGATCCATGTTTCTCTATCGTTTAAGCAATTGCTAGCACTTCTAATTAGTTTGTGGCAATGACTAAAGAATAAGAGTGGACGTGCCATAATGATCTATAGAAAACATACATTACGAGTATAGGAATTTCATACGATTCTATACTTAAATAATCTATAAATTCTGTTGATAATCAAATAAATAAATCAAAAGTAAATAAAATCTTACATAAATGTGTGTAATTCTTTCTTGTGCTAAATATTCAAACGAAATGCTTAATTTGATTGTTGCGAGAAGTTTGTTAATCGATGCAAAAACGATTCGTTGGGCAAATTACAATACTAAATTTATCATATTAACTTAGAATATATATCTGTACTGGGCACTGACCTCTAAATATGTAAGGAGTATCTCTGCCCGAATAATAATAAATATGAATTGCGACCATAAATTGGTATAAATATGTAAACGAAACTTAATAAATTAAAATTTTTTTTGACTTACTTGTGTAGGGATATCAGAGACGTTATTTCATTATTTTTCGAGCTACAGCCCTTCACACAACACAGGATTGATTGCCTTGATCACATAGATTCACAATCAAATTTACAGTATTATACTTGTTAGAAATTAAATTAGCTTATTTCCGCGTAATTAAATAAAATGATATGGCCTGCCCAGGTGCCCAGTTTGAAGAACACCTCCCACCCTCCCTCAATATATATATGGCTCATTTTGCAACATCGAGTCTTGTCTTAAAATCAAAAACATTGTTTTTATGTATGGGATTACAATTTATGGATTTTGTACTTAATACGATGAACAGTCATGGACAGCACTAGGTAATGGGTGGAGCCTACACCGTTTTACTTTCTGTTTTAGCC